TGCTGCTGCTGCTGCTGCTGCTGTCAGGGTGGGAACTCGGCTGTGAAAAAGCAACGAGCTCAGCCGCGCTACCATGCAAGTGCAGCTGCATCTGCATCTGCAGCTCTGGGTGCTTGAGGGGCCCCGCGTTGCTGTGTCGAAAATAGTTAGATTTGTTAGGCCGCAAGAAGCACGGCTCGGAATGAAATTTTGTGTTTGGCTCGAGTCAGAAAGAGGCCGACGCAGGTGAATGCCAAAATTTAGACTCGGCCTGGCCTGGCCTGGTTGGTCCGTGTGTCGCAGCATGAGAAACAGCAGCAGCAATAAGAATTGATTTCCGAGAAGAAGTCGAGGAGGAGCATCGAGCATGCCTTACATCGGCCATCTCTGGCACCAGTGCTTCTCGACAAGGTCAAGGTCTATGAGGCGCTCCTTGGCTCGCTCTCTACGACGGTATTCCCACTCTGATCGCCCTTCGATCTGTGCTCGGCCCTCGTCCGCCCCTGTCCTTCAGTTCGGGCATCTGCGTCTACTCTCAAGCACTCCTAGCATCGTTGCATCGGCTTCACCTTTGAGGACCAGCCGAGCCATGTCGAGCGCACAAGCCGAGAGCAGCAGCGCCGCCACCGCCACATCGACGCGCACGTACGACGATGCGATCGAGGCGCTCAACTCGCTGCAGAGCAACGCGGCGACCATCGAGGCGCTGCGCAAGTCGGGCGGACGCCTGCTCGATTTCGCCATCCCAGAAATGGTCGAGTATCTGGAGCGCATCGGCTACACCACCTCGGACCTCAACAAGCTCAACGCCATCCACATCACTGGCACCAAAGGCAAGGGCAGCACCTCGGCGTTTGTCGACTCGCTCCTGCGTCAGCTCACGCCCGTGTGCGCGTCCAAGCCGCCCAAGGTGGGGCTGTACACGTCGCCGCACATGACGAGCGTGCGCGAGCGCATCCGCATCGACGGCGTGCCCGTGTCGCAGGAGCTCTTTACAAGCTACTTTTGGCAGGTGTGGGATCGCCTGGAACAGAACCCCACGCGCAAGTTTGACCTGACGCCGCTGCGGCCCGTCTACTTCCGCTTCCTGACGCTGCTGGCGTTCCACATCTTTATCAGCGAGGGTGTGCAGCCGGTGATCCTCGAGGTGGGCATCGGCGGCAAGTACGACTCGACCAACATCGTGCCGCGGTGCGTGGTGGCGGGCATCACGCAGCTCGGCCTGGACCACACGGCGATCCTGGGCAACACGGTGGAGGAGATCGCAGTGCAGAAGGCGGGCATCTTCAAGCAAGGCGCACCCGCAGTGTGCTGGGCACACCAGCCCGGGTCGGCGGTGGACGAGGTGCAGCTCGTGGCGAGCGAGGTGGGTGTGAGCGGGTTGCGCATGGTCGATGTGCATCCTGCGCTCGTAGCGGGTGCACCACAGAGCGTGCAGCTCGGACTGCCTGGTGTGCACCAGCGCACCAACGCCAGTGTGGCGCTCGAGCTCGTCAATGCCTACCTCGAGTCCCAGGCGGGTCGCTCGGCGTACACGGAGCTTGCGCACCGCGGAGCGGCAGGAGAGTTGGCTGCATGGCAGAGGAAAGGGCTGGAGGATGCGAGGTGGCCGGGTCGATGCCAGACGGTGCCCAGTGCTCGTTCGGATGCGGCGCTGACGTGGTACCTGGACGGCGCACACACCACCGACTCGCTCAGCGTCTGCCTAGGCTGGTACACGGCCACGCAGCAGCAGCAGGGTCAAAGCAGGCGCAAGAAGCGCATCTTTGTGTTCAACTGCACCAACGGTCGCAACGCTCACGAGCTGCTCTCGTCGGTTCTCGATGCAGTCGAAGCAAGCCTGCGTGGTGGTGAAGAAGCGGCGTCGACCAAGGCGGGCACGGATGGCTACGCGCTGGCCAAGGACTACTTTGACGAGGCCATCTTTACCACCAACATCACGTTTGAGGGTGGCGGCTGGTCCTCCGAGCTGACGTCCAAGCTGCTCGACGATGCCGAGCTTGTGAATCTCACGGTGCAGAAGCAGCTCGCCGAGACGTGGAAGCAGCTCGTTCCCGGCTCGTCGACCGAGGTGCGCATCACGCCCAGCATCCAGGCGCTGCACAACCACGTGGTCGAGCTAGCGCAGAAGCAGCAGGGCCAGGCGGGGAGCGTCGAGTGCCTCGTCACCGGATCGCTGCATCTGGTGGGTGGCGTCATGGCGCACCTCCAACACAGCGGCTGCCTCGACGATCGACTCGTCTCCACCGTGCGGCCCTGATCCCACACAAAGACAGAAGAAATCTCGATAGAGGAAGCGCGATTGATGCACAGAGTGTGACAGGGGTGGGAAGGATCAAATGTGCCGCAAGAAGATGGCCGCCGAGCCCCTGTCGGCAGTCCTGTGAGATGCGTTGGGCAAAGGGGTCCAAGCACCGTTGCGAGGCGGTGACGTGCCTGTTGAAGAGCCATCCACGCCCGACACGCCAAAAATATTCAAAAAACAAAAAAGAGAAAGAAAAAGGATCGGCTAGGTGCAGCTCAGATGGGGCGTGTGCTGGCGCTGCACCGGTCAGGGGGCGTGCATACAGTATGCTGTAGCGCCGTGGCTGTTTGTTGGCAAAGCCCACAGAAAAGCGGCGACTTTTTTTTTTTTTTTTTT